AATAAATGCTTAGCTGCCTTTCCAGCCACAAAGCATCTTTCTATATTTGGCACTTTTAGACGTTCAGTAAAACAGACTTAATTTAATGCCAGATGACAGTGCCAGACTGTCTTCAGTTAAACTCAAGCACAGACCTTAAGAAGCTGCTTTCTCCAGACCCTGTCATGTTTCTCTCTCCACCTGATGTTCGTGGTGAGCTTTAAGCCCCGCACCCTCAGGGCAGGACATCGGCCCAGCCCTGTTGGGCTAAGTCAGCAGGGCCTTGACCTCCCGGGGGCCCAGGTCCACCCTGCTCTGTGTATCTGCGGGCATTCAGCTTAAGTTGCATGTCCTCCTCCTGGGTCACTGGGCTTGTGAAGCACAGCAGAAGCCACTCCTGACACCCGCTGCCTTTAGCCAAGAGAAATCGGCCTCCCTGCTTTTTTTCTGTCCTAAGTACCAATTCACTCCAGTCCAGCACACAGCATTAAAGTCCCTGACCCCGAGGGCTCTGTAGGGCTCTTTTTATTTCCTCCTTGCTCCCCAGACTCACTTATTCAGTAGATATTTATTTGGGGCCCCTAAGTCACATGTGGTGAAGTTATAAGAAATAAGCCCCAGTCCCTGTCCTCACGGTACCCACGTTCTAGCTGGGGAGACAGTGTGAGTAAGTGTTGTGTAAGTGCTGAGGAGGGAGAGAATTTCTGCCCCCAGCAGGAGGTGTGGGGCTACTTAAGATGTAGGCGGGGCAGATGTTCCGGATATAAAAAAGCGACTGAGCAAAGCCTTGGCAGTGTTAAAACAGGCTGATTTCCTGCCCGGGCAGGGGGACTGCAGGACGGGAGACCTGGCAGCTCTGCTCTGCTTGTCTCCATCCACGGGTCAGGGCTTCCTAACCCCTTCAGATCGCTTTGAATCTTGGCCACTTCCTGGATTCACCTGCCATTGTCCCCTGCCCCATGGCATTTCCTCCTCATTTATCATCAGAATGTACATATTTACATTACAGTAAAATATACAATGTGCTATAGTATGTGGCAGAATGATTGAACAGATTTTGCAATCAGGTGACTTTACCACTTGGTAGCTTTATGGCATTGGGGAAGTCATCTAATTCTCTCTTCCTCAATTTTCACATTCAAAAAATAAAGATACTGATAAACCCAGCCTCTCAAGATTGTGCAAAGATTAAGGGCAATAATTTATTTGCACACATAATTTTGAAAATATAAACGTAATGCTTTTCTGTCAATAAATGAAAATTCAAAGAAAGTGGTGGTAAAAGTATACATTACAATATGTAAAAGCCCAGACGTGACTGCACCAGAAGACATAAGGAGGCGGTCAGATACATCTGTCTGTAGGGTGACAGCTACTAACGCAGACCCATACGTGTTAATAACTCAAGTACTGCAAGTGGCACAGCCTTCAGTGACGTAATTCTGCAAAATGGTGGGTGAGTCTTGGTAAAGCCCTGAATAGGAGGAAGCACAGTCTTCCCTCAGTATTCAGTAGTTGCCTCCCAAGAATTCAGAGTGTATAAAAACCATGCAAAAATACTTCGATGAGTGTATCAAACAGAGTTAAGTTCTATGCTCAAATAATTATAAATAGGTTTTCACCTACAAACATGTCTCCTGGCACTTTGGAAAGTGTTGTGGATGTGGAACTTTTTCATCACGCAAGACTGAGGCATTTCAGGATATCTAACATCCTTGGTCCCCAGCCATCACTGTGACAGCCAAAAGTGCTCCCAAGATTCCGCAGCCTCATAGGGGACAGTACTGCCACACTGAGAATCACTGGCTAGATGCTGGCTCTCTGGTTCAGCCTCATAACAAGGACACGACAGATAAGGAAGTTGGGAGGGGGAGGATTTGAATGTTGAGACAGGAAAGGAGTTGGTTGCATTGCTTTCTTTCTCAGTCAAGGAGAGCCTTCATTTCTTAAATTGTACAAATCTAGCTCTTCCAACCTGCAAAGAGTTTCAAGTTCTGAGCTTGGTGGAAAATAAAATGAGGAGAAAAAGATAAATGGAAACCTCATTTGGCTTATTTACCTTGAGAGCCAACAAACCTAGTCTAATTCCCTGCCCTCCCCATTAGCTCATTTGTAGGCATACACTGTGTCTCAAGGTTAAGGAGAAATCTACTAACATGAATCCTTGAAACATTTTTGAAATTTAATCCTTGTTATCCTATAAAAAGACTACAGATATGACCTTATTCCATTTTTTTTTAGTTTTGTAGAGGATGCAATAATGCTAATCTCTCTTGGCATTTGCATTTTGCACACTTGAATGTCTTGAGCAAATGTGCATGATGGTCTAGTATTAGCATTCTGTCTGTTGCCTTCTGCTTGAGTCTTAAACAAATCAAAGGGGGCTTTGTTTCCTAAGAGTGCTTTTCAGAAGATTTTGAGCCTTAGATTTTCAACTCACAGTGATCACGCACGCACAGACACACACACACACACACACACACCCACCCACCCTCTTTCACAAATGTGAATGTGCTGTATTTGATTTGTAAATAGGCATTTGGCCCAAAGATATTGAGCATACTTCAAATGCATGCTAATGGGTGATATTCCAAGAACATATTTATGTTACTTGCAGCCTTATTCCAGGATGCGTCCTATTCACAGGACAGCAAGTTAGGCCGCATGAGGAAATCAGAAGTGAACAGGACACTTAACACCCTTGAAGAGTCTGTTGTCCAGTAGGGGTGATAAAAACCTCATATGTGTTATCATAAGATAGTGGTGCCATTGGAAGGGTAAGATGGAATACTGATGGCGTCTCTGGGGATGAAATAGTACTTTCCTCTGAGGAAGGCTTCCTGGAGGAGGTGGCATTTTTAACTTGATGATTTTAAAGATTCACTAAAATCTTGACAGGTAAGATGCTAAATTTTGAGGACTGGCTTTCTGAGCTGAAATAAATATGAGCAGAATTTGTGTGTGTGTGTGGTTCCCATCACTTAATAGTATGCATTCTCCACTTACTGTCTGGATGTAATTCAGTGACTTCAATAATTGGTAATAATTACTATAAATAAAATCTCATTGGATATCGTGGCCTTTCTGAAAAAGCCCTCTAATTTAACAGCTGAATCTAAAAGAACTCCCTTTTACAACTCCACATTCTGGGATACCACCACTATATTTGAAAACTCTGGAATGTACCTTTAACCTTATTCACAGTAAAATGCAGTCAGACATAAGGCAGATCTATCAGGATGGTTATATAAAGAGTTCAGCTGCTAAAGTCAGAAAGTATTGCTACGAGGTGTTTTCCATGTAATGGACCTGAGGACAACGCAGAAACGGAGCCAGAGCATCCAGGACCTCCTGTGGTTTCCTGCCCTCCCTATTAGACTGTTTCTTGGGACTTGGGTTTAATTGCTTCTGCTCCCGGGTTAACAGGGTCCATTTCCCAGCCCTTCTGGCTTCTGCCTGTACCGCTTGCCTGTGGGCTGGAGATTTGACTACAAACAAGTTAGTCAACATGAAATTTGGCCCAGGGGACATATTTATCTCTTGAAGAGGTATCTGTACCCCAATTTTCATTGCAGCATATTTACAATAGCCATGACATGGAAGCAATCTAAGTGCTCCTTGGATGGGTGAATGGATAAAGAAAATGTGAGATTCCGTGTATTCCATATGTATATATACATATACATAATGATTAATGTCCCACATTATTATGTCTGAATGATACATACATAAACAAAGTAGAAAATTATTCAGCCATAAAAAGGAAGGAAATCCTGCCTGTGTCGACAGCATACATGGACTTTGAGGGGCATTATGCTAAGTGAAATTAATCATAGAAAAACAAATACTATATGTTCTCACTTAGCATTCATAATGTAAGAAAGCCAAGCTCATAAGAGTTGAATGGTGGCTGTCAGGGGTGGGGGTAATGGGGAGATGTTTGTCACATGGTACAAACTCAGCTCGCAGATGAATACATGCTGGGGATCTAATATACAGCATGGTGATTGTAATTAACAATACTATACTATGTGCTTGAAAGTTGATAAGAAAGTAGATCTTACGTGTGCTCACCACACACAAGCAAAAACAGTAATCATGTGAGGGAATAGAGGTATATCGAGTCACCATATTGTACACCTTAAACTTACATATGTTATAATGCCAGTAATATCTCAGTAAAGCTGGGAGGAAGGGAAAGACATGTTTGTCAAACTTAATTGCCCTGGGTGGGAAATGTTTTCTCTCTGATCTGGATGGTAGTTACTGAATATATAGGTGTATCTATTCATCAAGTTGCAGCCTTAAGAATTGTGTGTTTCATGTATGTTATACCCCAATAAAAATGTAAAAATAGTAATAACAATAAAAACCACTGTGGTGTTGCCAATTTTGGTCTATCTTGCAGTAATTTCACAATGCTTGATGCATTTTAAAATATTTTAATAATAAATTTTTAGTGTTTTTCTTTAGTATTCCTTTAAAAATTCTTTTTCAGCCAATTAGTTGAAATAACCTAGAATTTGAAGATATTGTGACTAAATTACTATTTCAGCCAACTTGTCCTGTTTATCAACTTGCATCTAATCTCACCTTTTCAGCCAATTTTCCCAGACATGCCACCCCTCCTGCCGAACTTCCATCCGGATGTCTATAGCTTTTGGTTAAAATTCAGGCTGAAGCCTAGTGGTGAGTGAAGATAACTGATAATGTCAAAGGGAACAAAAATACAACTTACGGTAAAATCTTTACCTTTAGCTGTAGTTGCCAAGGTTCAAGCACCAAAAGAGAGAGAAACAATCCCTTCTGAGAGTTTTGAAAAACAACAACAAATTTGATGCCACTCAATTATAGCATTAAATCTATAAAATGCAAGAGCTGTACATAAATTAATGAATTTCTTCTCCCCAACAAACTCAGGCAATCTCATCATCTTGGATGGATTTACCAGTGAAATTAATTGCTCCTTAAGGTTACTATTTTTTTCAGTAACTTTGAACTGAACTGTTTTGTTGGAACAGGATAGCTGGGAAGTGGTCGAAGGACTGAGGGGAGAGATGAGTTACACCCAGGAGCCACCAGTCCAGAAAGGATTTTTGCTGAAAAAGAGGAAATGGCCCTTGAAAGGCTGGCACAAGGTAAGACACTGGCCTGGGCCTCACCTTCACTGTACCCACATTCCCCACTCAGTACCCAGTTCTCAGGCACTTACATTTAATTTGAAGTTGAACACTGAGACCAAGGGAAGGATGTTTAAACTGAATGTCTTCATGAATTTCACTTTCTTCCCCACAGAGATTCTTCTATCTGGACAAAGGAATCTTGAAATATGCCAAGAACCAAACCGACGTAAGTGGTCTTGGTAATCCGGTATGCTACGGAGGGATTCGGAAGGGCCAGTGGTTGTCAGCTCATGGATGAGACTGTGCACATGGGGGACTGCGTTTCTGTAACCTGGAAACCACGGAGGGGTGATGGTTCCCTCGCATAGAACAGAGGTGCCTGCTCCCCACTGTCCCAGCTCTGGGTTCTGGGTGGGCTCAGCTCACCCACCAAGTGGAGGTGTGGGGGCCCCTCTGAGCACCCTGCTGGGTTTGCAGGTGTGTGTTCAGGTCTCAGGGTTGTGCTGTAGGGGTCTCTGGGTGGGGGAGACCTCTTCGCAGTAAGATAACAGATAACCAGACACCGGGCAGCTCCCTCCCATGGATTACCAGGACAGAGGGGTTTGGTGGAGAAGGCCCTTGGTGGTGTAGGTGCCGTGAGGTTCCCCTTTGGGTTCCCACTGGGCAGGTGGTCCCCAAGGGCCTGGGATGACTGTTAGTCTTGCCCTCGTCGGGCCCTTCTCTTCTCCTGTCTTCCTCTCCTCGCCTCTCTCACGGCGCTCACCTTGTCGGGTTGCCTGCAGAAACCTGACATCAGGCCTGACCACAGCGGCCTGTCTCAGCATCCTCTCTCCTCTTTGTAAATCACTTCCAAATGCATTTAGACACCCGGAGGCAGCGTGGTTAACAGGTGAATCCCATGCTGTGGAAGTTGGGGCGGGGTGCTAACCCTCTCAGGGTTTCCTCGCCTTCCTGCCTCCTCTCTTAGCAATGCGTAACCTCCTGTTACTTAACGCTCTGTGATTCAGCTCCTCACTGGTAAAAGGGAGAGATGCTTCTGACCTCACAGGTTAAATAGGATGATGCATGTACAGCACTCAACGCAGCACCGGCTCACACGAAGTGCTTGAGAAGTCGTGGTTATTGTGTTTACTCTTTCTTAGTGGATGTGGAAGGGCAGCAGAGGGAGGGAGCATCAGGGATGTTCCTACTGTTTTTAACACCGTGGTTCTCAAGTGGCCTCCCTGGTGCTGCCTCTGCAGATTGAGAGAGAGAAGTTGCACGGCTGCATTGATGTCGGGCTCTCGGTGATGTCTGTAAAGAAGTCCTCCAAATGCATAGACCTGGACACCGAGGAGCACATTTACCATCTGAAGGTGAGACTGCTTCCCAGGTGCTGTCTCCCACCGCATGGAGTTCCTTTATGTTGCAAGGGGATTGTCGGTTATAGCACCATTGATGATGCCTTTTGAATCTCAAAACATCCAGCCAACATGTAGAAGATCTGCATTGTGCAGGTACTCCTGATGGACACTACAGACATTTGGATGGGCTGTTCTTTTTTGTGTAGGACTGTCTCAGACTGAAAGCTTAGCATCATTGTCCTTCATCCCCTAAATACCCCTCTTCCCTGTGATTGTGACATCAATAACCAAAAAAATCATCACATTCCCAAATACAAAACCTTTCTGCCCCTGAGCAGTACCATCTTTAGTGAAAAACCATTTACTGTAGGTTAAAATACGTTCCCAGAAATACAATATAATATTTAGTCTGTGAAACCCTGTCTTACAACTTCAGCTAATTTTACAGGGATTCCTTAAAATTCTCATATTGCAATGAATGTCAAGAATTTTTCCCCTAAATATGGGCCTCCAAATAGTGTCTCTGAAAACTGCTAAACCACCCTCTCCTGCCCCTTCTCCTGCAGGTGGTATAGACAGTTAAAAGCATGAAGCAAGAGCTTTGCAGATTCAGATCTGGTTCAAATCTCAACCTGGCTACTTTCAGTCTCTGGAAAATTATTTAATCTCTGAAAGTCTCAGTTTTGTCACCCTTGCCCCCATAATGGGAATTATTATAGTGCTCATCTTGTAGGGCCACATGTAGGAAACTTGGTGTAGTGCCTGGCCCACAATAAACTCAGTAAGTTTAGTTACTGTGTATAATTCATAGGTGATACCCGAGTGTCAGAAATTGAGAAAATGTAGAGTCCTTTCTTACTTGGGCAAATTCTTTGGAATATTGGGAATAGGGGCTGAGGGTTGGGAAAATAAAAGCATGAGGTCATGAGCTCCATGTCTCACTGTGTCCCTGTCCTCCCCAGGGCATGTCTGTGGTACTTGGGCAGATACGTGCCTAACACGTATGTGTGGCTGATTGACTGCCCGAGACAGTCAAGTCCATACTGTCTCCCAGCCCAGGCCCCTGTGCCCGTGGATGTAGTTAACTGTGAAGCAGGGTTTCTCACCCTCGGCACATGGACACGGTGAGCTGGAGACTGCTGTGGGGGCCTGTCCTGTGCACGGTGGGATGTTGACTGGCATCCCTGGCCTTCCCCACCTTGATGTTGGTAACAACCCTCCTCTAGTTATGACAACCCAAAAAAATGTCTCCGAATGTCCCCAGGGTGGGGGTGGGGGGCAAAGCACCCTTGGTTGAGAACAACCAGTATGAATTAAAGGAGGGAGAGACCTATGATCTTAAAAAAATAATAAGAAATATTCCCCACCGAACCCCACTTCAATGGTCAACTTTCTCTCTAATAGTTTAGGTTACTTCTCCATGTCCTTCCAGCAATTCTTAGTTCTGTGTATTGACATGCTCAGGAAATAATAGGTTCTTATTCATCCACTATTAAAGTGAACAGAGTAAAAGCAATAATTCCTAATTTTTAAAGAACGAGAATGGCTTGGAATATATCAGATACTACTACTGTGATAAACACAGCTTACCATTTTTCTGTGTTGATTCATTTTAAGTTCTGTTTGTGTCTTTTGTTCATCCTTTGGGCCATCAGCTGTGACTGTTAGGGCAGGGGCGTGGAGTTACTGAAGATCTTTGACAGCCTCAAAGTTGGGCAGTTTTTAATGTGGGCCAGCCAGTCCCAGTCTCTTACTTTATTATAGAGGGGGTCTGGGCAGCAGAGAGTTAAGTGGCTGTACTCCCATGGTCCTGTAACTACCCGAGGGGCTGGAACAGAACTCTGGTCAGTTATTTAATTAATGAAGTGCTTTTATTCTTCTACCTTGTTTAACCAATAAAAAATGAGTTGAAGTGAATGCTCTGGGCACTGATTTTTAATGGCCTCTGATAGTAGATCAGTGCAAAGGATGATACAAGTTTCCGAAAAATGCCCATTAATAACATTCGGAAATGAAATACATTTCAAGAACACAATTTAAGGGAGACAAATAGATGTGAGTATTCTTCTACCTGTAAACGACACATCCAATAGCACCTGGAAGGGTTTTAAGTCTTGTATGTACATCTAATCAACACTACAAACATGAGAGCCAACTGAATGCTTCCTAAATGAAGGATGTCACTGATGTTTATTTCCACATCCTTGCTCTTAGCAGCGGCATTAGTAAAGATTTTTAACTAGATTAACCTGGGTTTTTCCTCTTGGAAGTTAACCTACCATGCATCCTTTTGAGGTCTTTTAAATTGCTAATTCATGAGTCTCTGTGTTCTCGTATATGGATATCTATCATTTTTCATTTTGAGAATATTAATACACCATCACACACAGAAATATTGACTATTAAGCAGTGTCTATGGTTCATAGGTGCTTGTTACATTTTTTAGTACTTTTATGCACATTTGAAATATTTTATGATAAAGTTACCAGATATAAACATACTTTTCATGGAAATTAGACATTGATGGTCACTCACTGGAGAGAGTGGCTAAAAATTTCTGTATGTGTATTTGAAAAATCCTGGAAATCACTGATAATACTTTATCAGACTTTTGTTTTCTATTTATGAGTGGGAGAAATGTTTTTTTAAATAACCTTCACAGTGATTAATCTATATCCCTTAGCAATGTATTTGTTAGCAGAGAAGATTAACAAGGTTAAATATTTTAAGAAGAATTTACTAATTCATTCCAGGTTGGAGAAGATTTATCTAAAAAGTCTGAAGTACAAAAGAGGTTTTTTTAAAAAAATGGTGCTAATATTTTCAGTAGGAATAGGAGAAACTGGGACAAGAGAACTTGGAAATATTTTAAATATAAATTTTTAAATATAAAGATAAATATAAATTTCAGCTTATTTGTTGTTTAGTATTTTCTAATAATAGCATAACAATTGGACTCTTTCATCGAATGTCTAAAGGTAGAATTTATGGAGACCATTTTTACTCTCCACCTCCTCCTCAGATTTGTTCCGTAGACTACATAATGTAAACGAAGTCAGTAAACTGAGATTTCCACACTTCTGCACATGCCAACCTGAAGAGATGGCAGGAGTGACCTCGATGTGATGAATAATTAATTGTTCCCTAGAGTGAGTGTTTGCATCTTTCGATCTAACACAATCTAGGTAAAGTCAGAGGACGTCTTTGACGAGTGGGTATCCAAACTCCGCCACCACAGACTCTATCGTCAGAATGAAATCGCCATGTTTCCGCATGACGTTAATCACTTTCTCCCAGGAGCTACGGTCACAGATTCCCCACCTGGGGTCTTGGACTCCATTTCAAGTAGGAAGGTAAAGATCTGGGGAGGAGCAGGGTACGCTTGAGCTGGGACCTCATAGTCCCTGCGTCCACTTGGCCGGATCCCGGGCCAGAGGAGCATCTGTTAACGCTGGGACAGAGCCTGCAGGACCACACGTTGGGAGGGAGCTACTGTCCCTGAATGCTCCAGCTTTCTCTTGACCAGCTTGACTCTGGTTTGTTTATCTGGTTGTAAAATGCAGAAGATACATTTACAGCCATACAGAATTGTAAAATATTTCCCAACATTTATGTCATTATTTCTGTACGATTATCACTTGCCAAGAGGAGAAATCAGGGTCTGCAGTCCAAGGCCTCGTGGCGTGGTATGGCCATGCGGGGTGACAGCTGGAGGCCTCAGACTCGCCAGGGGAGTGCTTTGCTAGAAGCCTCTTGCTCGTTATGGGCAGATGGCTTCCATTAGCGACTAGCCCACGTTGTTATCCTTTACCCTAAAGCGTTCCTACTGGGCTCTGTTTTCATTTATAATGTGCTTTTGTCATGTGTGGAACAGCGTAGCAGTATATCAAAGCAGAATTCACTTCAAACTGGAAGCAATCTATCATTTTCCGGTGGTGGTGAGACACGAGTTCCATTATGGTTGCAGTCTTCAGAGGACATGGAAAAATGCTCAAAAGGTAGAGTGACTTGAAATCTCTGCTGCTTTGTGTCAAATCCTCTGCTCTTAGATTACGCTGGTTTGGTGTTTACACCCCGGATGAATGTGTACTGTTCCCCTTTGCTGGTCTGCAGTCCCTGTCATATTTTGCTCATGACGTCTGCACTCGTGATTCACAAAAGACACTTTCCTTGCAGAGTTTTACATCTTCCCCTGGGTGTGTGTGCAGACTAGTTTCCGTTTCTGCCCTTTAAGTGCGATGCCTGATTTCCATGTGGCCTACTAAATCACGGTCTCCGGGGGTGGGGTCTGCACAGTTCGTTACATTTTTTAAGAACCACAAATGATCCTGATTCACATCGAAGAATTTAAATCACTGAGGTGAATGGGTGAACCAGATGGACATCCCCACCAAATAGGTGTTCTCTACCCTGGCTGCATATTAGAATTGCAGAGAGCTTTTAAAATGCAAGGACACCCATGCCCAGGCCTCTCTCCCAAAGAGTCTCCTCAGATTAGTGTCGGGTGGGGCCCTGGCATCACGAGTTTTCTGCAGTTCCCCCAAGTGATGCTCATAAAGAGCCAGGGTTGTGATTTCTTGCTAAAAAGGAGCTCAAAGTTCTCAATATAATTAGCTAAGTATCACTCAGGGAACTGAGTAAAAAAAAAGTCACCAATAGGATTGGGGGTGTTCTAATTTAATTGTCTTGGCATGGGACTTGGGCATAGATAATTTTTAAAGTTTCCCCAGTATATTTTACAGTGTAGCCACAATTGAGAACCACTATCAGAGAAAGATGACTGGTGGTAGCCTTGAAAACTGCACTTTCCTCTGTTGAATGCAGGTATTATCACACCTGGGGCCGTATACGTTTTGCCCTCCCAATCAATATGAGCGTTATTTTGGGATAGTGCTCCTTGAAGTGTTGTCCCTGGACCAGAAGCATTGACCTGGCCTAGGAACCTATTCGAATTCCAAATCTCAGGCTCAACACAGATAGACTGAATCAGAAACTGGAGAGTGGAGTCCAGTGATCTGTGGTTTAACAAGTTCTCCAGGTGATTCTGATCATACCAAGGTGTGAGAGTCATTATCTTCAGGCATTTGGACCTGATTTCTCAGCAGAAATAGACACCATCATCCAATGAACAGCAAATTGAGGACTAGCTTTTGAGTTAGTGACCCAGGAACTGACCTGAGGATCCTTGTAAGTCCTCTCAGGTCAAACTGTAGAGGATCATCATGGTCCTTGTGCAGGTCCATGATCCACAAAGTTATCCTTAGAGACCAATACAACCTTCATTTTCATTTCATTCATTTAACTTGTATTGGGTCCTTATACTCGGATAGTGGCAGCCCAGAATTGCAACACTAGAAATAACAATGGTGGTGGTGGTGATGCTGCTGATGATGGTGGCTGATTTGTTTAGTGCTTACAATACTCTGGGTACTCTAAAAGTACTCTGCATATATCATCTCACTCAACTCATAACTGTCCTGTGAGCTAGGTATATAATTACCCCTGTTTTCCAGACAAGGAGGAGACACAGAGGAGTGATGTAACTTGCCCAAGATTCACCATTCATTACATTCAAAATGAGGCAACCTGGTTCTCTAGATCTATGCCCTTAACCATAGCAATCTACTACCTCTCCTGTAAAAAAGGAAGTAAAATTTCCTATCCTTACATATGTAAAAGCAAATGTAGATAAATGAGAAAAGTAGCTGGTGCTGGAAGAGTGACGCTTGAAAGCAAGATGAGTGTGTCTGAACCCTCCTCTCGCTTTTCTCCCCCAGACCTGGCACACTGTCATGCCTGCCTGGTGGAGATGAGCCAGCTCCTGCAAAGTATGGACGTCCTGCATCGGACATATTCAGCGCCGGCTATCAATGCCATCCAGGTTAGCCAGATCCCACTTCTGTTTGCATTCTGGTGTTATTCTGCTTCCCTTCCTCCTCTCCAGCCTTTCACTAACGGTGGCAAGTTGTCTGGTTGGTTGCTTCAGTCAAATTCAAGGGGATGGAGGTGGTCAGTTTGCTGTGTGTTTTCCCCTTTTGGTTTGGTGGACCTTACTGTCTGTGCTCTTTCCTGTTTTGAAACAAAGTGTGGAGCTTTTGAAAGTCCCAAGAAGGAAAAAAGATCACACAGGAGGTGGCGGACCAGAGCCATTGGCAAAGATGCTAAAGGAACACTGCAGGTAACCACTGCTTCCCACAACAGGCTGGTTTCCTCAGGGACCCTGCTCTGTGTGCCTTATGCCAGGGGCTCCTTGGAGTCAAATAGAAGAGTAGGCAAGTGCATATTCTGTAGTTCTTCTCTCAAATACCTTATGCAGAGAGATGAATTCAATCACTGAGATTTTTCTGGGCATTAGAATAAATACGTAATGAATATTGGGTAAAAGAAAAATGGCACGAGCTTGGAGGGACTGCAGTCATTTCTAGGGTTTTGGTTTCCCCGTCTTTAATGCTTAGCCTGTCTGCTCTCTTCCCGGCTTGCATGTGCAACTTGTTTTGTGGCTGCTGTGATTGTGTGCTCTGACCCACCTCTTCTGCTGCAGCTCAGTAGATTCACCATCCCTCTGAGCCCACTGGCTGGAGTGTCAGGAACAGGACATCGTACAGACTCGCTTTTGCCTCTTGTCACCAACCTTCCAATCCCCCATCAGAAGTTCACTGTGTAGTGCTCACTAGCCACTGACTTTCCCAATGCGCAGCTAAGCTGGAAGCCATGATTTGCAGCTCAGCCATTGCATATTAAATTGCAGCATTATTAGGGTTAAAATAAATCAGAAACTTACAGATAAATCATCTCTTATACTCTCATATACATCTGGTTCGAAGCACTTTGGAGGTTAAACCTGACTACTTTCAAAGCAAAGAGTCATCTGTGTACAAACACGTGAGAGGTACGTTTGTTTTGTAGAAGCACCAGATGCAAATAAAGAAAACATTTTTAAACCTACCCCATTAACTATTACTAGATCCTGGATGATTATTGCCAGGACAAAGGAATTGAATATATATGAGAAAAGAGCCTGGCCGCTTTGGCTGTCATTTTCAACCTATATCTTTAATTCTGCAATCATCTCCAAAAGAATACGTAATTTCTCACCCATTATTTTGCAAGAAGCCAGTGAGAATTGCCACGGAAAGTGTTTTCCTGAGCTTTCATTTATTTTTCATGGAAGTTTTTACTTAGTAGAAAGACTTTCCTATAGAATGTTCTTCCTTTATTACTTTCCTATCTTAGAAACAAATAAATATTCTAAGCAGTTTGCAGCAGAAAAGAAATATCTCCCTTTGGTGTCACTTTAGGTCCCGAAGCCTTTTTCTGGCCCCATAAGACTGCACTCCTCCAACCCTAATTTGTCAACACTAGATTTTGGAGAAGAGAAAAATTATTCTGATGGCTGTGAAACCTCATCAGAGTTTTCTAAAATGCAAGAAGATCTGTGTCATATTGCCCATAAAGGTAAATGAGTTTTCTTTCTTCCTAATGTGTCTGATGAGAATGTTGAACGCTTGTCTGAAAGTGGGATGTCCTTGGAGAGGGGATCTTAGTTGGTTCATTTTCTGTTCTATTAGGACTTCGGGCAATCTTATTTTTATTTTATTGTATTTCCCTGGTAGTAGGGAGGGTATTGGCAAGAAGTTTCTTTTTAATTCTGTAGGGAAGAAAGTGAGAGCCTCATGTATACTTCAGAAGGCGAGCAAGTCATATGCTGCTGATGAGGGTGTGGATTGCTGCTTCTCTGGAGGGCAATACGGCATTATATTTCAACCTTTTTTTAAATCTGCCTATCCAGCAATTCCACTTTGAAGAATTCAGTCATAGGAATTAATTTAAACTTTATCCAAAGATATCCATCATAGCATTGTTTATCATATCAAAAATTAGAAATAGATTTTCAAGATCATTAGCCATTAGGAAAATGTAAATTAAAACCATGATGAGACACTACCACACACCAATTAGAATAGCTAAAATAAAACAACAGCAGCAACACTGACAGCTGGTGAGGATGTGGAGAAATTGGATCTGTCATACATTGCTGGTGGCAATGCAAGATGGTACAGCCTCTCTTGACAATAGTTTGGGTGTTTTATGTAAAAATAAATTTGCACTTAACATACAACCCAACATTCACATTCTGGGGCATTTATCCCCGAGAAATGTAAACTTAAGTCCACACAAAGCCCTACACAAATGTTTAAGCAAGTGTATTTGTATTAGCCAAAGACTGGAACAACCCAAATGTCCTTCAACAGATGAATGGTTAAACAAAGTGTGTTACAGCCATACAGAGGAACACTACTCAGCAGTAGAAAGGAATGAACTGTGGATCCATGCCACAGTGGAGGGAATCTCAGGGGCATTATGCTGACTGAAAATAGTGAATCTCGAAAGATTTCATAGTGTATAATTGCACTTATTAACACTTTTGAAGTGATACAGTTATAGAGATGGAGAAGTGTTTAGTGGTTGTCAGGGGTCGGGGACTAGCAGGACAGAGGGAGGGAAGGTATAAGTGTGATTATAAAGGGGTAACAAGAGGAATCTTGGTGGTGATGGAAAGCTCTCTTGATTCTGGTGGTGGTTCCACAGATCTACACATAGGATAAAATTGTGTTGACTGATAACTTATAGACACAAGTAAGAGCATGTCAAACTGGTGAAATCTGAATTAGCAGTATAGGTTATACCAGTGTCAATCTCCTGGGTTTGATGCTGCACCAAAGTTATGTAAGATGTGCCCACTGTGGGAAACTGGATGTAGGGTACCTGGGACTTCTCTGTACTATTCTTGCAACTTCCCATGAGTCTATAACAATTTTAGAATAGAAAGGTTTTTTTTAATTGAAAATTAGAAAGAACCTATAAGCCCAGCAACAGAGGGACTAGATTTTCAAAAATGCAATAGAATACACAACAGCCACAATAATACTTAAGCCACCTTACATCGAACACACAGCTGCCAGGTGTTTGCTAATCAGCACTTCACACACACTGTTTCACTGAATTCTAGCAGCAGCCCACAGAGTAGGTATTTCTGTAACCTCTTATCTGTGCAGGGAAAAGACATCTGAGTCTTAGAGACCAGAGAACTTCCTGAGGTCACATGGTCGAAAGTAGCCAACCTGAGACTTGAATCCTCAGCTTCTGGATGCCAGAGTCTGTGCTCCTCACCTGGGGTCTCATTGCCCTTACAAGTGGGGTAGCCAGGGTTGTTTTTATAGTCAAAGGAAGTATCCTGATTTTACCTGCCTTGAAGAAGCTGCTTCCTCGGCAGGACAGAGGCCACTGTATTGAGTCAATCCACTGACCCCGTCCTCCTGCAGAGGGCTCTACCTTGTGCAGAGTCTCCTAGGGGCCTCAGCCAGCCGTTTTGTCTTCCGGGCTTTGTGAAAGCCAGCTGGCTGCAGGGCTGCCACGTGTCTAGACTAGGTCAAGATCTGTGCCCTGAGAAAGGTCCAGATGCACCAATTCAGCTGCAGCCCGTGCCCCACAGGCTTGCAGGCTGCGAGTTCCACGGGGAGCCCGGCATGCTTAGTTTCGTTCCTGGGGTTTTTGAACGCACTTGCCGAGACTGGAGGATCTCGGGGGAGTCCCTTTCCCACAGGCTGTAACTCAGAGGCTTCCCGAAATGAAGACAGCTCTCCTGTGACCTTGCCTGCTTTCTCACTTTCATTCAGGCTTTCAGAGCACCTTGACCTTTCTTCCTATGTAAGCCTGGTTTTGTAACTGACAGTTTTTACTGTGCTTTTTAAGCTGCACCACTAATCTATTGACTCTGATTCCGGAGCAGCTGAACCCAAGGCAAGAATTCCACTAATGTTGTAAGTCATCTGTATTATCTACTTCTTCAACTTGTTAAATGCATCTGAATTCTGGTTTCATAGAAGTTGGGATCAAGTGGTAGGCAACCAATATAAACCCATCATAAGAAGTCCTTGTTGCATATTATAGACTATAAATTTGATTTTTACGGTGTATCAGTAACTGACTCATTGGTTCATGTGTCTGGCTCTGTGTCTATGTTGACACACATAGAAACAAACAATAAAATGTGCTAAGATCCAAAAGTCATAAATAATATACCTTACAATATGTTAGCTTTTACATACCCCAAAATGTATTCATTGAACACTTTCCCATAAAACGCTTTAAAAACAAAAGAATTCCATGATTAAAAATGGAAAACACTGCTGACCATAGTCTCCTTTACATTTACACGAGAAACTAAATATAAAGACCCTGAGAAGTCCTGCACCAAAGAAGCCTGTGAGCTTGATTTAACTTAATGATTTTCAAGTTTTCAGTGTTATTAGAGAAGTTCTCTCCCTCTTCCCCCAATAGCTATCCGCTATGATCACTCTGGAACTGAAATTCCTGAGAAACATGTCAGCAAATATGGTAAATAATAAGCCTTTCTGGAGCTGACCCTCTGTACCAGCTAAGCCAGACAGCAGGCATTCATTCTAGGCCACCTCTGCTGCTGACCAGCTGTGGGACTTTAACCTCCTGGGTTAAGCTCTCTGGGCCTCAATTGCCTCATTTATTGAATGTCCTAAAGTAGCTATCCTGACTTTTTGGGCTCTCAAATTCTGTAATTCTCATCTATGATTCATTGTTTTGCACTGAATAGAAATAATGTATACTGCTGCTTATTGTTACAAGGAGATTTTATGAAAGAGAGGGTTTTATTCGTAATAGAAGCAGAAATGGTGAGCAGATTTAGGATGGGAAAGCAAGGACTAGTGTAGGGCTGCTCCAGATAAAAGTGGGTATTCACGTTCTGCCCTGAAAGGGAAGAAAGGAGGTTTTAGGGCTACTCCTCCTGCAGGCTGTAGAAGGTATTTGCAGTGAGAGAAATCTTCATTTATAAATGTAAAGGCTAAAAATAGAACAAAATTAAACTCTGTTACATTATTTGCTATTCTTTTGTTCCTGGATTCTTTTCCTGTGTTGAGTTTTAATTGAGTGGTCATTTTTAAAACTGTTTTGAGCTTATGGAAGCATTGAATAAAAAGCCAAGTATGTCACAACGATATCACTTTTATAGACTAAAAGCTCCAAGATATACATGAATTAAAGAGAAGCCAGATCATTTATCAAACGTAATTTAAATTCAGCATCAAAATCTGCCAAGCAATTGTAGTCATTTAAATTATCAGTAAGTAAGTAGGACCATTAATCAAATTACCTAATGTACTTAAATGAAAGAACCATTTGGGTAAAATGTGGGCTCAGAAGTGTTTTAAAACCACAGACATCCTGGAAAGTTTGAGAATTAGAGGAAGCTGATCACAGATTAGATCACTTTAGATATTTTAGATGTTAACACTTTAAAGAAAATTTACCAAAATGTATGTTTCGTTAAAAAGAAGGGAAGAAAAATAATGACTCCTACTGTGGGTTGAGTGCTACAGGACAGCATGTTTTCTCCTTGCCTTAAAGCAGTCCTGATGTGTGGGCATGGTCCTCACGTGCAGGTGTGGAAACGAAGGCTTTTTCCAAAATGTAAATAGCAACAAAGTGATAGAAGTGGGATTTCAGTCCACATTTCCTTTGTTACAAACTGTCATTCCCTTGTACCACGCTGCCTCCGGAGAGGTGGGGTCCGTGATGTTCATAACTTTCTGCTTCAAGAACTTACTCTTTTCTGATGCAGAGAAACTGCTCAAGAAGGAGCGTATTAAACAATAGAGCTCAGGCAAATTATGAGGAAAGTACAGGAGTCCTTCAGGGCCATCTGTCTCCATCCAGATGTGCCATCTGTACCCTCACCATCTCACTCAGACAGAGAGCAGCATGGAAGCCTGTGGAAACAGGAAAGGTAGTGATCATCAGGTCAGTGATACATGCTCGTGGCCTTCTGTTCTGTCCGAAGCTCAGCCTGCGTCCCACTCTCAGTACAGGGAGAGGGTCTGAGAAACGGCCAAAGACAGTCTGGAAAAGAGATGCCACAACTGCCTTTTGATATTCAAATACCCCAGGAAAGAGGAATTAGCTCTGTTTGCCAATGAGACATTGAGACAAATGTCAACTGAGGAACAGGAAAGACTTTCTTACCCCCAGGCGGTCTAAAGATAGAGTGAGCGGCATTAGGACCCAGGAATGCCCTGAGAATTGTGGGCCCAAAGACCGTTTGACAAGGAGGTTTGGAGATGAGAGGAGTTGCTCCTTCTATGGTGGGCAGCCTTAGTGATCTTTGAGGTTCTTTGTAGCTCTGAGCATCTAAGACTTTCTATGTGGTTTTGTTTATTACCAGAGATCCATGCATGTGATACACTCATTTATAGCTTTCTGTTGTTTTAAGCTTTTTATTTTTCTCTAGCATCATGTTAGAAGTTAGTAAGAAAATACTCCTGTCGTAGAATATTCCTGACCTCTGGGATTTTTTGTCTTTAATGATTAATATAAACGTGGTCTCCCATGAGCAGCCTGTAACCGATGCTCTGTGTGTGCTGGATCATGAGGCTGCTGTGAATGACTATTTTAATGTGCTCTGAGTGGCCCTAAATAGTCATTTAAGAAATTTAGTGCATGGGGAGCTGGTCTGAGCCCTTTTGTTACATGGTTTAGAAAGCACTTAACATCTTAAAATTAAATATAATGACTATGTAAGTTTCTGCTTATTTTATACCCACAAGAGTCTTGTCAGCTATACATTTTGAACCAAATAGTGTACATTCTACTGATTTAAAGATTTTAATAGTAGTCTTCTAGTTTGACTGAATGCCTTGCTTTGCTGCAGAGGATTTGATTTGGTGAAGTGGCAGCCAGCTGACTGCCACATTTGTTTAACTTAGAGCAATAAAAATGACAGTAAAAAATATTTTTTGTGACTGTGTAAAGTGACAGATGTTAACTAGACTTATTGTGGTCATCATTTCAAAACGTATACAAATATTAATCTTACGTTATATACCTGAAACTAATGTAATGCTCTGTATGCCAGTTATACCTCCATAAAGAAAAGAATGGATAGTAGTAAATAAATAAGTAAGGGAACGTACCAAAAAAAGTGAAGAGGTATTTCCCCAGGGCCACCCTCGGGTGGGTGTGGGTACCCTGTGGAGTTGCAGGGGCTGGGGATGCCTGGGGTGCCTGTCTAATTGGACGAAAAATGCAGTGAGTGAGTTGACTGCCGGCCTTTTGCTCTCCAGCTGAGGCTGCTCATCTACTGCTCGACAGATTCTGATCAATCCCTCATTCACAGAAGCTCCACCCTGTGTACATTTGTTTATAAATGTTGTCCCAGCAAGACACTAAAGTATCCTCCTAAAACTGCTGCCCATATTTCAAAAGACTGCAGTTGTCAGCACTTTCCCCATCTGTTTCTTTCATCACCATCAATATTATTATTGCAGTAACATTCATTATTTATTATATGCTATGCGTTGGGCCAAGTGCTTTACCTACATTATCTTATTTAATCCCCATAACGATCTTATAAAGTGAATGTTATTATCCCTATTTATAAATGAGGAAACTGGGGTGCAGGTGTATCATTTACTTGTCTGGGCTCCCGCAGTGAGTAAGTGATGGAGCTGGGAGGAACCCAGAGCCGATGTTGGAGCCCACGCTATTGGTCGCTGTGTTGTGCTGCCCATTGTTTGGTTCAATTGAATTGTTTTAATCAAACAGCTAAGTGGGTTCCATAGACATTATTAGGAAATATAGTACCTGTTCACCCTTGACCCTTGTCTTCCATCGACAGAGTACCATAATTTTTGTGGATGTTTAAACAAATTACTCATTTGTCCTGCTACTTTGTGCAGATACTCTAAGTCTGTCGCTCAACACCACAACACCACAGGTTCAGGGACAACCCACCAAGAGGTTCAGCTGTCCATGTGGCTGTGGAATGAAGAGAGTAAGTCAGTCGTGTGTATTTAGCTTCGGTGACACTGAATCAGCCACTCTTGAGTAGCAATACCCCTAAAAATGCAACCACGGGGAGTTCAGTAATATTGTCAGGAGAAGATGTCGGCCTCTTCCTTCTTCCTGACGTTCTAAAACTGAACAGAATAAAGGAGATTGGAAAGATAGTATTCAAATATGATCCCCAAGATCAGTAATTCAGAAGACAGGTGCCTTATCCCTAGCCAACAACTTGTACATTATGTGATCAAAACTTGGTGAATTTTTTGCCGTATGTGTAAGCAGTTTTTAAAACTATGGTTCAGGCATCCAAGTGCCTAATAGCACTGAGCTCTCATTGTACCTGAATGTTCACTATTGTGGATGGCCTAGGCAAATGCCAGGTTGAGAGGTAGGGAATTCTGGGTCAGGCAACCGGAAGGACTGACAAGGAAGAGGGTAGGTAACACCTTATTTGGAAATAATTGCAAACTTACAGACAAGTTGCAAGACTAATACAAGGAATTCCCTTAAATCCTTTACCCAAATTCACCATTTTTAATATTATGCCACATTTATCTTTTTCTCTACTCACACAGTGCACACAAACACTTATACGTGTGCACACGTGGGTGTGTTTATTTTTCTAAATCATGTGAGAGTAGGAATCATACATCATGCCTTTTTTTAAGCCAGGAAATTTAGCACTGAAACAGTACTTTTTACCTATTCTGCCTTTCATATTCAAATATTGTCAATTATCCCCATAATGTCCCTTAATAGGTCCTTTCCCGTTCAATACAGGATCTAGTCCACGTCACAAACTGCATTTAATTGTCACGCCTCTTTAGCCTCCTTTAATTGGGCACCGTTCCTCTCTTTCTTTTTGCTTTGATGAAATTGACACTTTGGAAGAATACAGATCAATTAAAAAAATAGGATAGTCTTCATTTGGGGGTTGTTTGATTCTTCCTCCTGATCAGATTCAAACGGCCTGTCCCTGGCTGGTGTACAATATAAACGAGGCTGCGTCTTTTAGGGTCTCACACAAAGTCACAAGGCACACAAAGGCCACTGACTCTTATTGGTGATTAATTTTGGACACCTGGTTAAGGTGCTGTCTAGGTTCTCCTCCACATTGTTACCGTTTTCCCCCTGACAACCAATAAGTTCTGTTTTCAAACACGTCCAGTCTTTGGGAATACAAACTGAATGTTGATCATTGAGAATCCAGGAGTACTGTCCTTTCCAGTGGCAAAACATTTTGATGATAAGTTATAAAATCATGGAATTTTGTAGTGGGTAGAGGCTTTGGAGTTGACAAATGTGTGTGATTTTTAAATTTTTCATAGACTTTATTTTTTTAGAATAGTTTTAGATTCGCAGCAAATTGAGCAAGAAGTACAGAGTCCCCTCCTCCCCACACAGTCTCCTCCACTGTCAGCATCCCACCAGAGTGGTCAATTTGTTAACCATCAACGAGCCTACATTGATACATCATTGTCACCCAGAGTCCATAGTTTACGTTCGGGTTCACCTTGGTGTTATACGTTCCAGATGTGGTGGGGTTTTTTTTTTTTAAGTTAATTTAGATATACATTTGCTGGACTCAAAATATTCATGGCTGTTACTTTTCTAAGTTCTTCTACAAGAAAGACATCTCTTTGTATCTTGTTTTTAATGATGCCTCTTCCTTTATTCTTTTTTATAATGATTATATCTTTATAGTTTACTTCACTTTAAGGTCAGCTTTTAATACCATATCAACGGAGAGGGAGAAACTGAAGCAACTGATGGAACAGGATGTCTCCGCCTCCCCCTCTGCCCAGGTCCTCGGTCTGAAGCGTGCCCTGTCATCCGTAAGTTACATGTCTGTGTCCCAGAAATGCCTGACAGCGTGTCCAGGGTCATGAACTTTTTATATTTTCCATCTCCATGGGTGTGTTGAAAATTCATAGTTTTCCATCGTTGTGTTGAAAATTCACGAGAAAACCAAAACACATTATCCAAATTATATTCTGACCTTTCGTCAATTCTGCTTATTCTAAACCCCAAAGCTGAGCCTACCCCAGGTCTTATTAGCTAGTATTTCATTGAGCATTAGATATTTTGTTTGGTTTCCTCCTGTTTATCTTGATTTTCCTGTTTTTGTGAAGCTTTTGTTGTATGTGTGTCTTACAGACCCTTGTTTGTTAATGCTTACAAAATCTGACAGTTTGCAGATTCCGTACCTAAGACTTCACAGGCTTAGACTGACTTTCCAGATGACAGGTACAGGCAGCAGAGTGAAATTTTGAATTCACACTCTCATCTTCTCTACTGCACCGCTCTGATCCTATTTACCTGTTTACAGCACGTCTCTTTCAAAGATTGGAAAGTGATTTGATTTGATCGCACAAAAACATTTAGCTCCCACCCGCTCCCCCTTGAGCATGAGCCATAAGGAGTGTCAGGTAATCATTGCGTCTTCATAACAACAGAAAAGTCACTGTCAAGCCTCAGATGTTTTTGAGTAAGCCATCCTGTCATTCACTGTCTCCTTTTTTTCATCAATTCCAGTTTATTCCTCAGAAGAGCTGGGCTCCATTGAAGTGGGATTTCCCAGAACTCTGCTTTGAATAGCTGACAGTGCCTGGCTGCTCCCTCTGTATCTAACAAAAAGCTGGAGAACTTTGGAGATAACATACTTATTTGCTCCTACTCTTGCTTATACTTTGGAATCCCTACTATAAAGAGAGAGTGTGTGTTCACACGTGTGAAATCACCATCGGAAGCAGTACTGAACTTGCGATTTAGGGTCACGTAGGGGAGGTGAATGTTAGGATCTTGTTTTCAGAGTCCAGTTCAAGCAGTGAGAGGACTAGGGAATATCCATTCATGTTTTCTACTCATCATCTAACTGAGAAAAGTAAAGTGATGCACTTGGTGTCACGTTAGTGGTAAACACAAAACCAGTGGTACCTACTGTCCTTGTAAAATACTTAAGGAACAGTCACTCAGTTGAACATTCCCAGTATGTTATCTTTGAAAGAAATAAAAAATAGCATGGATTTATTTCCTACTTAGAGTTTTAATGTTGTCTGCCCTGAGGAGCTCTGGGATTTTTAAGGTCAGAGATGGAAATACCCACTTGTGGTTTGTAATGGACAGCCAGCCACACACTGGGTATTACTTTAGTTTGAGAGAAGCAAGGTGGTTCTTTTTTTTTTCTTTCCAAGTTTATTTTTCAGTGGTGAAAAGCATTTCTTATTGTTCCCAGTAGGCTGGCCTTTAGTGCATTTGGTAGTTACCTCTGATGGGCTCCCCAAAGACCTTTTCCCTGTGGTCTTCCTCTCCCCTGGCCTCCTTCTGTGAAGGTCTGGCCTCATTTTGTTAATCTGTTTGTCCAGTAGAGGCCATGAGACCCACTTGGCCATGGTGTCTCAAACCAAAGTCAGTACCTTCCCTAAGGAATTTTCTCTTACCCATGTTAAGGAATTTGGAAACTTACAATAAAACAGAATGAATCTTTAATTTTTGGCTTGGATTTTTGATTAGATTTAAGACTTGTTTTATTTAAAAATAAAATTTTAGAGTTATCTCAGGGCTATTAGAATGGATATATTTGTGCTATATGCAGTCTTTGCGTTTTTCTTTCTTCTGGTTGTGGCTTACAAAGGAAAGAGAAGCTACTAAAATGACACATCTTTCAGGCCATGCTAAGATTCTAAGCCACTGGTACAGATTCCAGCCACTTATACCAAGACACCAGCAACGTACTGGCCAAAGTGAGTGCCCCATAGAGATTGTTACGTGTAGTTCTGTGATTTAGGAAACATTTATTCATTGTTTCCTAAGTGATTCTCAAGAATTTCCAAATAACCCATTCCATCTGTGGGTACTGAAAAATAAAGCCAAAATTCTTGTTTGAGAACCAGGCCGTGGACTAGACATGGGCATCCTTCTATGCCCTCAGCAGGTAGACCCTGTGGGCCCTGATGGGTGGGAAAGGCTCTGAGCTTCTTGGAAGAGAGTCAGAAAGACAGACAGACAGGATGGGTCTGTGTGCGGACACCTGGGGAGCTGATTTTGGGAGTGTCTGCTGGGACAATCAAGTGAACCTATCCCTTTCTAAAGACAGATCATCTGGAGAACAGTTGATCACAAAGCACTCAGGGTATCAGCATGAAAGAAACACCTTCCTTTTCCTTTCTCGTTCCTTCCTAGTTGGGAGGTTAGCGATAGCGGGTCAGACCTGCCCAGGGAGGAATGAAAGAGGTCCAAGGTGGGCTCACAGGTGCTCGCATCTCATAACCTCTTCCCAGGGCCCTGAGTCTTACTTAGCCTTTACTTAGGTAAGTGAGCTTTTTTTTTTTTTAATGAAATATCTTAGTCATGAAGAATAAATATAAGACAATCAATATCTATATTGTAAAACAGTGAAATTAATCCTCGACAGAGTCTGCTCAGCACACTTTCTAAGATCCAGTTCAACTATTGTAATAATTAAATAACATTAAAATCCATCCAGTCATAAGGGGTGCGAGCAGCATTTTTATTGAAGATAAGAGAGAGGCTTGGAGTTTTGAGGAGGGAGCTGATCAAGGAAGGAGACTAAAGACAGCTGGGAAGGGGGAGGGGCCGAGAAACCACTAGTCATAAGAGCTGTAGGAGTTGGTGATTTCCTTCTCCACCGACAGGAAAGCCTTACTAACCCCTCTTTCCATGCCTGGAAGTGAGATTCGAGAAGAGCCTTCATTTCCAGTCTTTAATATCTTGTATCTGCCAGACATTTTAGAACCAGTATCCTGTTGGATAATGTTCAAGAAAAAAGGTCCAGGAAGTGCCCTCTCAGGGCTCTGCCACGCTGGGCCCACCGCTGTGCTCTTCTGAAACCTCCATTTATTAACGGAGCCCCACTATTTTTAACGTGTTCCAGGCCCTAGCACAAAACACAGATCTTAAAGAACGCTTACGCAGAATCCATGCTGAGTCTCTTCTCCTCGACCCCCCTGCTGCTGCCAAGTCGGGGGACAGTCTGGCAGAGGTGGGTAAGGCTCCGGTCTGGTAATGTCACCGCGTCCCACCCCCACCTGACGTCCTCTGTCCCCGCAGTCCTCCTTGCTCCCCCCGGGGTGCTGCTCCATCACTACGGCGGCTTCCTTGAAAGGAGGCTGCTAGCTGCACTTGGAAACTGCTGCTTCCCCCAGATCTCTTTTCCCTTTGTATTTCTCTCCCCCATTCTCCTCCTGAGGATCACCTTTTTCTCTTGATTTTACTGGATGGGGGTGGTGGGGGGCAGTAGAGAGATTATTTTCTCCTGTTGTTTCTGAAAGAACCCAACTCTCCCTGACCTACAGTATCCCAGGGCCCTGCCGGCTTCCTTTGCTCCCTCTCTGAGAACCACTGTCCTCTTTCTTTGTGGCTGTTTCCCTTCTCCTGTTCCTTCAATTTTTTTTTAATCTGGAAACACAACTGTACTTTCTGAGGGGGAAAAATGTCTACAATTGAAGTGTCTTGGTCAGTTAATAGTACATTAAAAATGTCTTTTCTCAAGACTTAGGATGTTTGTCCAAAATAGCCTTTGAATGTGTTTAAAATGAGAAACTTCAGAAAAATACAAGTGGATTACTTGAAAAATCAGTAGAAAAGGGTAATGAGGGTCAAAATTGTTTTTGACGATCTCTTATAGTTACATGCCTTCCTCAAAGTGTGCTAAAGTTTTCATTAACGAATGTGTTAGACTGAGAGCATTTAAAAAAAAAATAAGGAAGGTCAGATACGGGGGGACGGGGTAAGTTATTTGAAGGGATTTCTCATGTTTAATCTTAACCCATCTTCCTCCTTTTTCTGTCCTCAAAACAAAACCCAGACACAAAACCTTTGCTCCCTGGGAAGCTGTTGTGTCAGGTGGTGGGAAAACTAGGTGCTGAGATCAGTCAGACGGCAAGGCCCGAACTTCCACCTCTGCGTGGGGCACAGGCTGTGCCGCGTGCTGACGGGTCCTCTTCCGACGCGGTGGTGCCCTTTCTCTGCAGAGGCCCGTCGGCCCCTCTTTCCTTCTGAGATAACATGTCAGTGGTTGACTGTGAAATTCCTCTGCACCTTCTTCTGCCCCCTAAGAGATCTTTTCAACTTTAGCCCAGACCTAAACTGAGTCCCCTGCAGGACTGAGCACCTAAACATTACCTATGGGGGCCTTCATGTCAGGCCTGGGCAGAGAAACGTGCTCCCAGGTGGGCTCGTTTGCTAAAGCAGGGCCCGGTCACCGTGACCCGCCATCACTGAGGGTGGCGTGCTGCCCAGCACCGTGGCGTTCTACGCAGTTTCACGCCTGTTCCCAGGCAGCTCTTAACCTTTTCAATTGTCACCTAATTATACTGATCTGTTTAACAAGCTATTAAAGAGGTAAGTGGCAAGTTGACCTTCATTTCTGGCTTTATGAATTTATGCTCAGCATGTACACTTGGGGCTATTTACATTTTGGAAAGGGGACCAAAGCCACAGGTCTTTTAAAATGCATGTTTGTAAACTGATCTCACCAGTAAAGTACCTGAAGGCTTAAGTGCTGTACGTTGTCTGTGAGGAGGGGCAGGAACATCCCTCAGGCTCACACCATCCAGAATAACTTTCTGGAGTTAAAGATGCAGTTGTCTCCTTGACCTAGTTCCTCTTGCAGTGATTTTCTGTTATCTGTGTTTTATCCTGCTTTTCATAGAATGACTCCATCTAACTTCCCCAGTGAGGGAAAGGCCATTGTTGCCTTCATGAGATAAGAGTGAGTGGAAGGGGCTGCCCCAGAGCCTGAAAACTAGACTCCGGTGACTTTTTGCAGGCTCCTCACACTGTTGGAATGGCAGTCCCCACAGTGGTCTCAGCCCGGGCTGCTCCGTCTATTTAGAACCCCTTACTTTCTTTGCTTACTTTCTGTTTCCTTTTAGCTGCACAAATTACCCATCTTTGGTATTCTAAAATCCACTTGGATTCTAAAATCTCCCCTCTCCTGTCAAAAAGTACTCTCTCATTCTATCAAGTCCTTCTATTTTAAATTTCTGAATGTGAATATTTACTATAATCAGGTTATAAGTGCTTAGATTATTTCGTGTTGTTTTAGATTCCAAATGAAAGGCCAAGTGAATTTGGGGATGACATCTTACTAAATCTAAAGTCTATTTAAGAGACTCAATAAGCAAGAACTTGAAAGAAAAGTCTAAAAGAGGAGGAAATTTGACCCTTTTAATTGCCCATTTGCTATATTTCATATACACCTGAATGCATTATCTCACAAAACTCTAACCATGGCTCTGTGCGACAGGTGATACATAGTTTCATTTTAGATACAAAGAAACTAAAGCCCAGAGAGGTTAAGTAACTTTCTCCAGGGCACACAGCGAGTAAGAGATAGAGCTGTGATTTCAGTCCACATCTAATGAGTCCCGAGTGCTTGTTTTCTCAGCAACATCGCACTGCTGTGTGGTGAGGAGTGACCCTCCAAGCCAGGAATAAAACATTTGGTGAAGCTCCAATCATGAAAATATGGTGGTGGTGGGTAAGGATGGGACAGGATAGCCATTTCAGGCATAACACCATTTTGTATATGTTAAAAAAGAAATATATGATAGAAGAGGCTCAAAAATCAATGGGACCGAGATGGATTTTTCAATAAGTTAGGCTGGTACATCTCAAAAGCAGTTTTGGAAGCAGTTTAAATCTTTCTATCACACACTCAGATGAATCACTAGTGAATTAAATTCGAACTGAAAAATATTTGAATATTTATCAAATTGTCAGAGTAAGGAGGACTTCCTAAATGTGGAAGCAATAGAAAAAATACAAAAGAAATGTTGACTAAATTTGGAATTTTTTTTTTAAGGAGCAAAATGGTGTATGTAAAAAAATAAGAAGGCAAATAATAGACTAGGAAAAAATATTTTCAGTGAAAACGACAGCCTAGATAATGTTACATAGGTGATAACACCTTTAATATGTAAGTAATAAGGAGGAACAAGCAACGTAAGACCTCAACAAATAAATGGGGAAGAAGACAACAATGCACACACAGAAATACCAGATACAGACAGTTTTTTAAAACTTTTTATTTTGTGATACTTTTAAATTCACAGGAAGTTACAAAGACATGCAGAGGGAGGCCCATGCATCCTGACCTAGCCTCCCTCCCTGTTAACATCTTTACAGCCAGTTTTTTTTTTTTAAGGAAAACATGTTCAACCTAATTCTTAATGAAGGAATGAAAATTGAAACAATTAGAGTAGAACAAAATTTGTCTAAATTAGAGTGGCCATAAAGATGTAGAGAAAATAGAGCTTCCTCTCCTTGTTGATGTAATTAGGTGATACACGTTTTACCTGGAACATTTTTAGTAATTCTACTTCTGAGAACTGATTCTAATAAATAATGAGGTACCGGCAAAGACACATTTGCAAATGTGCTCACCGTCTTTACCAATTTGGAAATAACCTTAATTTCCAATAAATGAAATGGTTACTCTGTGACACACATATATAATAAATCTATCAGTTAAAGTTCATTGCCTCAAAGAACTTTTAACAGCTTGGGGGAAAGTTACAATATAATGTTAAGTAAATATGTCAGACTATATAAAGACTATGTACAGTAGGATCCCAGTTTTTCAAACTTAAAAAAAAATCTGTAAACAAATATTTTAATATAAAAAATACAGCCACAGGTTAATAGGGGACACACCTGGGTGATGACATTTTAAGTGACATTTATTCACATCTTTCTGTATTTTCTGTTTTGAACACATTCCTTTTATATTCAGAATGAATGTTAATTTAAGAAGTTATGGTACAGTGTTGTTTGGGGGAAATGTATTAAATTCGGTAGGTAGGTAGATAGATGACAATTATTTGGCAAAACTAATATATATATATATAGGTAAAAAATTGGAGAGAACTGTATAAAATGCTTATAGTGGTTGTTCTGGTGTCATGGCATTATGAGTATTCTCTTGCCTCCCTTTTCTCCGCTTGTTTATCTTTTTGTGATGTAAGAAATAGATAAACAACCACTCATACCTTACAAACTTGAGGGGTTACTATTGACTTGAACTGACCAGATTAATATTTTAATACATGAAGTCCTGGGCTGTGCAGGACACTGGGCCAGGGGCCAGGGGCCGGGGGCCTGTGGTCCTGCTGAGTTTCAGGTGGGTAGCCAGAGGAAGTTGCTGGAATAATGCAACACTGGACAGGGCTAGGACTAGGTATGTTATTTTCAGTGTTGATCAGAAAAGAAATCCTTCTAACCTATCAGCCTCAAGGAGAAAGATATAGCGAGAGACAGAGTGACTGGTACTAAATTAATGAGAACAAGTAAATAAATCATTAGAGCCTGAGGTGTCAGTGGCCCAGCAGAGACACAGGACAGCTCTGCCGTTTCAGGGAGCATTGTGGGAGCTCAGCCATTCCCCACACCAGCGTGTCTCCTCTTGTGAGGAGAGAGACCCTGCCCTTCAAGGTGACAGCTGTGACGCTTATTTATAGATCCTAAAGGGATCTTTCTCTTTGTTAGAATGGAGAAGAAGCCTGCTTTTCAGAAGGCTGTATGGATATTAAAATAGGTAGGATCTTTTAGATCTTAATTAGGAAAAATCTAAGAGGAAGGGATGCAGATTTAAATGTGTTCCTAAAGTAAACATTCCCTAAAGAGACCACTTGACCTTTACAATTATGAAAATCCGCCAGGGGTCCTCCTGTTACAGCATCCCCATCTGAGTTATAATTTGTTTCTGAGACTGAGGGATGTGTCCTGCAGTTAGGAAACTTCTGGGAAAGGCTTTAAGTTTTGTTCCCCAAATTATTCTGGGACTCATTTCTCAGGCACATAAAGGCATAGAAGCAGCTCCTTTATCAGCCCAGTGAGAAACGTGAGCAGTTGGGAAGTTCAGCGAACAGTCTTTTCTGATTCAAAGGAATCAAGTCATCTTATCCCAAATTCATTCTCATCCCTCAGGGTCTAGTCAGGTGTCATCCCTTCTGTGAAGCCCTCTCCAACCAAGGCCCCTGATAGAATCAGCCTCTCCTTCCTCTCCGCTTCCGCAGGGCCTTCTGTGCCGCGGTCTTGGGCTCACGTGTGTAGGGTGCGTCCTCTGTATCCCTCCCTTGGGCCAGAAACCTCGTCCTGTTCATCGTCGTGTCCCACCACCACCAGCACAAAGCAGCTGCTCAATTTCTTGAGTCAAATTGACTTTTCACTGTGCTTGAATAGAAAGCACATTCCCCAAGTATTTAGGTCCTTCCCAGAGGAAAAGTCCAGACTTAGTGACGCAGGGAACGGAGCGCCAGCAAGAGGAGAAAATCATGATACTCTGTTGTGTTGTTTGTGGAGAGGCTTATAAAGGGGACTGGGGACTTCGCTCGCAGAGTCAGTGTGGTTGGAGAGAGACAGACAGAATTTATCTCATTTATCCATGAATAATGAATAATCTGCCACCAGGGACACTTCGGGACAAAAGCACACTGTTTATTTGTCAGGGGATGCTTCAGAAGCAGCCTGCGGGACTCTGGGAGAAAATAGAGGCAGAAGAAAGCTGTGTTGCTCTGAACCAGCCATGTAAAGACATGCATTCAGTACAATTCAGAGGATATTGTAGGGTGAAAAGAAACATCCTGCCCTGGTAGAGAATAAAAGGATATGATTCAGAGAGCGCTGGAATTTTTCCCGTCTTACACAGAACAAAACCTGACCTGCACAGTCTTGTTTTTGCTTTGAGATTTGTTATATATGTCCGAGCTGTGATAGTGCCTGTAAGTGAGGTGCCCATTTAGGGGAGACCTTTGCTTGTCGTTGTGTTTCACGTGAGGCTTGCCTCTCCTTCGCTCTGGAGCTGCCCTCTGCCTTGAGCTGCCTGTGTGTCTTGGCCATCACCTTGTGCATCGTGCAGCAGGAGCAGTTGTTTGTTTTGCTTCCCTTAAGGCTGTTTCTAAATACACACATTTTTGGTTTTGTCTTTCAAATAGGAAAACTCCAGAGACGACAGTCGAGCCCTGGTCCATCAGCTTTCCAATGAAAGCAGACTCTCCATCACTGACTCCCTTTCAGAGTTTTTTGATGCACAGGAAGTTCTGTTGTCTCCAAGCTCTTCAGAAAATGAGGTTTGAGCACTGTTTTCAGTTACGTGCCTAAAAAATCTCTTTTAGGAGGAGGGATCGCTCAGTGGTAGAGCACATGCTTAGCATGCACGAGGTCCTGGGTTCAATCCTCAGTACCTCCATTAAAAAAAAAAATCTCTTTTGTTGCTTTACCCGTTTAGTATATATCCATATTTAGAAACACTAAAACTCAATGAACCTTTTTATCATTAAACTCTGAGGATCTTCTTATAACTCATACTCCAAAAAGCACAAAAGGCTATAAGATCTTAGGAAAAAAAGGTTGTGAAAGTAAGTGTTGGGCACATCTTGGTTTCTGTTATTTGATTCATTATACTTCTTTTCAATTATAGGCTAAGTATTTTGATTATTAACTATGTGATAATGTGTTATATCCACCACAGGGCTAGATGTTATTATCCTGTATATTTTTTAATCATTGAATTTTCTCTGTAGTAATTTATAGTATATAATTATTGTTATTTTAATAATTACAATATGGTCATTGTAATTAATTTATAATTATATTGCTGTGTGTGTACGGATAATTTTTCCCCTTCAGTAGAGAAGTACTAATACTGTTTATCTATTAATTTCCGTAGAAGATTCTTTTTTTCACAAGTAGTTCAAAGACAAATTGAGATTCATTCTACTCAAACACTAACAGACTCTGAAAAAGCAGTATGAATTAATATGAATTTTTATAATAACTGAAATCTGGAGTTTATTTGTATTTTCCTTGTGAGAATGAACCAAGAAAGCATTAGAATTTTAATAATGGGTATTTTCTGTGAACACCTTATAGGCAGACTGATGTGTGGGCCTTTATGAAAACAGCATCCAAAATTATTTCTATCCCTTTGTAATGTGGAATTTAAAATGTTTGATCACTTGACGTAAAGGTTTTATGAAAATCTGACTTGCTTACTCTAATGTATATTATTTCTTCTTCCCATAGATTTCTGAAGATGATTCATATGTCAGTGACATAAGTGACAACCTTTCCTTAGACAATCTCAGTAACGATTTAGATAATGAGAGACAGACCTTGGGTAAGATTTAATTTATTTGATTTCTAAGTGTTTGGTTCTTTACAGAATGCTAGTAAGCATATACAGAGTACCTGCTGCCAACAGAGGACTTGGCCAGTTCTACATCAAAAGCTTAAGACATGGTCCCCACCGTCGAGGTTTTTATAGTCTAGATGGGGGCACGGCACTCACATGTGAAACATGCACTCATTCAAATGCCTGTGTCTGCTCGTGCAAATTCCTATTTTTATAAAGTGAAAGTATATCAATTATGTAAGTATCAAATTAATGCAATAGATTCCTTATCTGGTCAAACATTCTGTCTGCAAACATTAGAATATAGCTTTTTGCCTTTAGCTATCTAGTGGTTTGCATAGTTTAGGAATTCTCTAAGACTTACAAAAGATCTGATCTAAGTGGTAATTTAGTCTCAAATTCTTCAAGATAACACATTTGAAGGTAACACACTGCTACCTCCTTAGGGGTAGGGCTTCAGGTACCCTAAGGTATCCCTTTATTACTGGTTAATCCCAAGAGTGAAAATGAATGATGCCCAGGAAATTTTAGCTGGTACTGAGGAGTACCTGGAGTGTCTGCTATCTCCAAACAGCTCTGATTTAGGAGTTCGATAAGCAGACTGAAACCTATTTAGGAAGGCGACCTTCAGAAGAACCTGCCCATTGGACAGGTCTCTATGTGAGTCCTGTAGCAGCAAATACTCTTAGTCTTGGTACTCAGAGTGCCTTGAGATCTCTAGGTTTGTCTGTGCCAGAACACCACCTGTTTTTATATCTGCATAGAGGACAAGACCCTTTTTTATTTACACATCAGGGCCTGTGTGATATTTCAGTAAGTATGTGTGAAGTATGATGATCATGAGTTGTTATCTGAATGCCAAAGAACTTATTCTTTGAAGACCACACACACAAAAAAGGCAAATTATCTTACTGTCCTCTGGAAGAACATCCGTTCAGCATCACACCTGCTCATTGTGCTTTGTATCTTTCTTGAACTGCTTCTAGAGAGGGGAACCCTTTGGTGGAGAAGTCTGAGAACCAGTGATTCAAAGGAGAAGCCCAATAATATAGGAGCAAATTCATGTACTAGTTTTTTTTTCCAAAAAATTAAAGAAAAATGAGGAGGCATCACTTATTCCCTGAGCAAACAGCACACAAGCTAAAATGGGGGGGGGGCTCCCACGTGAATGAGAAACAAATGCTGAAGTCCTCCTTCTGTCTGAGGGAGGGGCCCCAGGGGAACACAGAAATGAGTGTTCTGATGTCAAAGTTGGGAACAGAGGACTTGCCCCGAACCTTAGACCACAGCTATGCTGAGTTGACACCAGCCAGGAAAAGCATATAAGAGGGGAAGGCTGGTTCTCTCTGTCTTATTCCACAGCCATTTTGCCTTAGCTTGCCTTAGCTTGAACAAACACTGGGCCAAACTCAGCTTTCTTCTTTGGCAGTATTTGGAAGATTAGATTTCTGCACATCAGTACTCTACTTACTATAGAAATAACTTTGCATCTTAAGCTACAGTATTGCCTACAGAAGGAAGTAGGATTGGATCAAGGTCTTGATAACTTATCACACTACAATTCCTCTGAGCCCATGGTAAATGCTAGGTATTTAGAATGCTTCCTGTTAATTTCTTCCCACCCGAATCAGAAGGCACATCTTAGGCTCTCACTGTGATGGGTGCTGTGTGGAGGTTCAGTGGTTAGGAATCTAGATTCAGGGATCAGATGTCCTAGGTTAACCCCAGCTCTGTCACTGGTTATGTGTTCTAGGGAAGTTACTTAATTTCTCTGTGCCTCAATTTCTTCATCTGTAAAATGGGGATAATCATACTGTTTACCTCAAGAGGTTGCTATGAAGAATAAGTGAGATAATATATGCAGAATGCTTGGAAGACTGTCACAGAGAAAAAGCTGGATATATATTAGCCATTATTGGTAGTTGTTTGGTAGTCTTTCAAAATTTAGTGTAATCAAAGAAAGTATTTTGGAATTACATGGAAAGCTGTTTTTAAAGACTATTATCACTTGCAGCTATTTACTTGTATAAATCAAATTTTTGCCCATGTTGAGCAATCAAAACAAACTCAATTTAATTGGATGCTTACATTACTAACATGAGAGTTCAAAGTGTGACCCCCAGTTTTATATTCTGTTCATTAAAGCAGCTTCGTTATTCGGAGTGATTGGCTTTATAATAAAATACCACTTTCTCATACGACGGTATAACGCAAAAGATTTCCTTTGAAAATAGGCTAAATTGAGGTGGGAAAAGAATTTTGGAGCATGAAGCAATGGAAGTTGCTACAAAGGAAAAGGTTGATAGATGTAAACATCTAAAGTGTATGTGTTTCAGTCACGAAAAAAGTGCATAGACCAAATTTAAAGGTAAATATCAATGGGGGATTAAATTATAAAACAAATACAAAAACAAGAGATTGTGTCTTAATATAGAAATAGGAAAGCATACAATTCAGAGAAGGAGAAATATCCACAAAAGCGTTCCACACCACACCAGGAACTTTTTTGACTAAATTAACACAAGGAGCTAGCACTGCCCACCTAATGATTTGCCAAGAATTCAAACAAATGCTGACAAGTCTAGAAAGACCTCAGAACATGGACAGTGGCATAAGCAGCTGATAAATGGGAAACTGATACTGCCTTTTTGAAGAGTGATCATATGAATCAAAATTCTAAAACTGTAATCTTCAGCATAGTAATCCCATGTCTCTATATGCTAAGAAAATAATCAAAGGTATAGTCAAATATCATACCAAAACGCTGAAGCAAATCTGAAAGTCCAACAGTAGGTGAGTGATTCAGTATTATGGTTTATTCATAGCATGGGATTTTTACAGTCATTGAAAATGAGGTTTTAGAAGACTTGAATAGAATGGAAAAATGCTTATGTTAACTGCTTGAGCAGAACATTGAACTATACAGACATTGTGAGCTAAATGCAAATACTCCGAAATATAAATGGCTGCTACCTCTGGATAGGGGGATAATGGATGACTTTTATTTGTTTTTCATTTTCCTATAATACACACAACTGATTTATCAGAATTGAAATGACTTTTTACCACCATCTTTTTCGCTTGTTTATTTTTTGTTTTTCTCTTGGGGGTAGGTAATTAGGTTTATTTATTTACTTATTTAATGGAGGTACTGGGGATTGAACCCAGGACTAAGCATGCATGCTAAGCATGCACTTTACTGCTGAGCTATACCCTCTTCCCCTGAAATGACTTTTTCAAAAAGAGTTTGAAAGTTTTTATCAGACCTTGAAGTGCTTTTTAAAAATAGTTGAAAAGTAATCTGGGATAGAAGTAATCCAGTTCCCAGTTTTACTCTAAGTGCATATAAACTCTGAGGAACCAGCTTTTGAGGAGGAATGTGAAGACCTCCCTGTGAATAAAGTCCATGCACTTTAGTGCTTGTAATGTGGGGTACCTCAGTTAGCTGCTCAGAATTCTTTTTATTTTCTGACTTTCCATCATTATCTGGAAAACTGAGATTAACAGTATCATTGAGTACTTGCTTGGTAAGGTTTTATTCATGGGTTTTTTTTCTGTTTAATAATGAAGTAAAATTCAAATCCTTATAAGGCAGCCAGGCTTATTTCCCTTCCAGGGCCTGTTCTGGAAAGTGGCGGGGAAGCCAAGTCCAAAAGAAGAACGTGCTTGCCGGCGCCCTGCCCCAGCTCCAGTAGCGTCAGCTTGTGGAACATCCTGAGGAATAACATCGGGAAGGACCTGTCCAAGGTGGCCATGCCGGTGGAGCTCAACGAGCCACTCAACACGCTGCAGAGGCTCTGCGAGGAGCTGGAGTACAGTGAGCTCCTGGACAAGGCTTCCCGGACCCCCAGTGCCCTGGAGAGGATGGTAAGGACACAACCTGCCACCTGCGCCTCCTGCGCCTCCTGCGCCTCCCGCCTCTGCACCTGAGCCACGAGGCCACTCACAGGGCCCGGCAGGGCTAAGCCGGGCAGAGCCAGGCTCCTGTCCCTCTGCTTCCATCTGGATTGCCCTCCAGACAGCTTCATTTCCCAGTGACCTCCAGTTCCCCTCTGCCTGGCTGTTTTCAGTCACCCTGTTGGGATTTGCCTTTTGGGAGCAGTTTCCTGTGACAGTTGGTGCCTAGGGCAGTTCTGCTCTGTGGTTTTGGCATTTTTTTTCTCCAGAACCTTGCATGTGATTGTTCTGATGTGCCTAGCTGGAAAACCCCTCCTGAGAGCTGTCTGCGTGTTTACTTTTACACCCCTTGAGTGGATAGAATTTAATTTTTTGAATTCTTTTTTGTTTTTTTTCCCTCCAATCCAGGATAAATTTTCCTTGAGAATGTTTTTGTTTATTTTTGGAATTGTCCTATCAGCTTCTAAATTTTTAGAAAATATTCACAGAAGAGTTTTTCACATGAGAAAGATTATCCCCCCAGCCACATTTCTCATTTTTTAGAGTAAATAAAACAAACCAACCAACCAACCCAAATAAAACCTCACTCTAGAAAAATTAACCTTCTGTTCTCTACTCAGTGTCAATTCTGATCAAGTGATAGGCCTTCCAATGAAGGGGCCTCCAGGTATTTCACATCATTCCTGTCTTGTGGGGATAGGGGAGTGGGGTACCTTGATGGTAAGACTGTGGCCAGATAAACCCTTTCTGTGACCATGACAATTTGTTCTTGAACACTAACTAAGTGTATCTTCCTTTTTACTTACTCACGTTACCTGCCCAGCATTAGTCGTTCTTTGTGTGGGATGCTGGAACACTGGCGTCTTCCTGCAGATGCAGTCTCTGTTCTGGGCATTTGCTGATTGGCAAAATGGGACGGCATGCCCCTCAGCCTCAGGGATCCAGCCACCCATCACCCTCCTGTTGGTGGAGGACGCCTTTGTTTTCTAAATTCTACACATTCTTCAGTTTAAACCTCATTAAAACTTAAATTTCTTCAGTGATTTTAAGATTGAGGGGAAATCTTTACTACTGGCTGAAAGAACCATCCTATGTCACTCCACATACTCTCCAGGGACTTCTCCTATCAAAGAGATTTGCTTTCTTGATACTAATGTTACTAAGTGTAGGAGAGAAAAACAAGCTGTTTATTTTTTATCCTCTTTGTTATTCTTCCCCAGAGAATTTCTGTGAACAAAGGAGGCAAATAGCTTCCAAGACAAGTGTTAAAAGTTAACATTTGTAGACACAGCTTTTCTTTAGAGAAAATGATTGACTTTGAAGATGAAAGCATTCTTAAAGGTGTTTCATTTTTGTAGCAATTTAGAGACCTTTGGGATGTCAGCTGATTGATTGTCGTCATTGACCTTGAGAAGAAGTTTGAGGAAAGGCTTTGCTCTCCAGCACCAGTATGTTAAGAAGGGAAAGAAAAGAAAAGCGTTGAGGAGGAACCTAGCCCATGGATTGTGTTTACTATTCTGAGCAGGAGGGTCAGCTTGGACCCCTGCAGAGTTTTTTTGCCAGCCCACAAGGAGGACGCTTCATTCTGCCTGCTTCCTCCCTTCTTTTATAAATGTGTCATATTTTAAATTGTGAAGGTGATTTGGGGTGTATTCAGCATTCCATATAGATGTGTGACCTTGCTGGTTAAGGGGCAACAAACATCTGAGGAAGCTGAGAGAGGAACAGAACCCACGTTTCCAGAACAGACTGAATCGAGCACAGGGAGGTGATTTTCATAAGCTCTCCAGCTGCTCCAAAGTGTACCACACACTCTGGTGTGAGGGGGTAAGGTGGGACCAGTATGCAAAAGTCTGAGGAGAGTTAATGTGACTAGTGAACGTTTATGAAAGGTACACAGCTTTTTTTCCAATATAAGAAACTTCATGAAATGAGCTGAGAAGAGGAAACATTGAGATTATTACTCAGTATTAGAAAAGCAAATTTGTCATTGATACTTAGGCTTAATTTTTTGCCCCTTCTCCCTCTAAAGACAAAAAGAATACAGACACATCTTAGAGATACTGCAAATTTAGTTCCAGACCACTGCAGTAGAGCAAATATCACAGTAAAGTGAGTCACATGAATCTTTTGGTGTCCCAGTGCATGTGAACGTTATCTTTACATTATAATGTAGCCTGTTAAGTGTACAATAGTAGCATTCTATCTTCATATATATATGTATGTATGTGTATATATATATACTTGAGAAAAATACTTTATTGCTAAAAAATGCTACCCAGCATCTGAGCCTTTGGTGAGTGGTAGTAATATCAGAGACCACTGATCACAGATCTCTGTAACAAACCTAGTCATAATGAGAAAGTTGGAAATAATGTGAAAATTACCAAAATGTGACACAGAGACACAAGGTGAGCAAATGCGGTTGGAAAAATGGCACCAATAGACTCAACTGATGCAAAGTTGCCATAAACCTTCAATTTATGAAAAGCACAGTGTCTGTGAAGCACAGTGAAATGAAACGAGGTGCGCTGGTACTGTGTCTCGCTGGTGCCCTGAAAAGGCGCGTGTGGGAGATGCTGAGAGCCTCACAGCTGGGGCCAGGAGTGGATTTTGCTCATTTCATGTTCGCCTGTGGTCTTCCTTCCTTTTCCTTTTTGAGTTTTCATTTTTCCTTCCCAGAAAAGCAGAACTTTTTTTTAAAGATACCGTGCTCTAGCCTAGGGCTTCTTGTCTAGGAAGTGACTCCCGCAGATTTTCTTTTGTCAGAATGGGTTTTTAGGTTTCTGCAATATCACGTTGAGTGGTTAAACATAGGATGCTTAATCCCGAATTTTGAGGGAAGTTTGTTTGTTTTTAATGCTCTTCTTTCCCCTCCTCCCTAAAAGCCTTAGCACGACATCAGATTCTCAGGTATTGTCAGGTTGAGAGTTGCTGGCTCAGCCAAATATCTCATCATCTTGAAAGCCTCTGCCCACTTTCAGACATCAGACCACATGGGCAGTTGGAAAAGATTTGGTTCACTTGTCTCTGGGTCAAAATGAAACACTACTTAAACCTGCAACTTTAAAGCAAAGGTGGTTTTGGTGTCTTTAAACCAGAGACAAATCTTTGGCTTTTCCAGATAAACTATAAAAGGAGAAAGGGGTTTTATTTTGTTCGTGTCTTTGTGAAAAGAAATTTCTCGGTGACAAAGAAGTAACAAGGCTCTTTCCCCCCTCCCTAGGTGTACGTGGCAGCCTTTGCCGTGTCGGCCTACGCGTCCAGCTACTTCCGGGCCGGGAGCAAGCCCTTTAATCCGGTTCTGGGAGAAACCTACGAGTGTATTCGTGAAGACAAGGGATTCCAGTTTTTTTCAGAACAGGTGAATATACACCCTTTTTGCTTGTTGAGAGGAGTTGCTTATACCTCCCGTTACGCGTACTTTTGAAATATTTGCTTTCCATCTTTCACTGGCTTCAGAGCAACTGAGATCATCACAGTGCTTTTACACATAAAGAGAGCGATCGGTTTCCGTGCACTGAAACCTGGCCACCACCGTGAGCATAAAGATGCTTGCAAGGCTGAGGCTCTCTTGGCTGAATGCATCCTCCATGCCCTTTCTGTTTAAAGTCATAGTGGAGGGAAGTTTTGAAAGCACAAAGCATTGGCCCAACTGCAGTTTAGAGGTTTAAAGTGTGCACTATCGCACGTTGACATCATCATTCTACAGCACGGGTGTCCCCACCAGAGTGGGAGCACCAAAAAACACTTTATTCTTAACTTTGATTTAAGAGCAATCATTTGTGTGTTTATTCGTTCCATCCATAAATACTTCTCGAGACTGTACCATGTGCTTGGCATCGTTCTAGATGCTGGGCTACTATAGGGGCCAGGGGGCAGACCAGAAAGCCTGTCCCTTGTCTAATGGATGGACATGCCTTATGTGTACATAGCCTGAGTTCCCTGAGATTCCATGGACTAGTCCCACCTGTAAGTTAGCAGAGAATAATATTCAAGAGCAGTGTCTCTGGAGCCAGCCAGCCTAGGTTCAGGTCTCAGCTCTACCTCTCACTAGGTTTATAGCCAGGGAAGGTCTCTTAACCTCTCTGTGCCTCAATTTCCTCTTTAAAGTGGAGATGACAGTAGTGGTACAGGCCTCAGATGGCTTTGCGATGAGATATTCTCTACAAAGCACTCAGAGCACTTCTCCTTGAACAATCAAGTGTTATATGAGTGTTTACTCTCATTACTGACGTACGACAGCATAGTTGGCAGTAGTGGAATGTTGGGAACATCAGAAATATCTGTCAATAAGGAACCATTTAGCTGAAATAGAGTGCATACAGGCTGAAAATCAAAACCAGCTCTCACCTGGTTAAGACAGCAGCTGAACATGTCCACCATCTGCAAACCCCTAAACATCAGCTTGGGAACAGAAACATCATTGTTTTGATATATTTGTCCCCTCAACTCTTAGAAAACAGGGCAAAGGGGTGGGTTGCTAACACGTTATTTTCCTTTCTATCCTTGCTGCCTTCTTTGTCAATGGCTTTATAATGTGGGAGTAGGAGGGGGCAGGGTGGTGGCCGAGAGGCTTATGAAGATGGTGGTGGTCTTAACTGTACATGACGAACAGTGTTCTCTGAAACTCAAAAGAAGATGATAACGCAATAATCCCAAGGCACCTTTTTAATAGCTTTGCAGTTAGCAGCTAAAATGAGAAATTACACACTGACACTGGGCCAGTAGGGGATTAAATCAGTAGTAAGAACTAAGATAATCTTATTCAAATTCAACTGGGTTATTTAAATAGTAACCCTGAAATGGAATGAGAATAAATGAAAATGTAATTTGGTTACCATGGTATTACATGCACTTGTGTGAAAAAACAAAGGCCAAAAATAGCTCCGAACTACAGCAGACAATCAGGACGGGATGAAGAGGCAGAAGAAAAGAATAGTAACGTGAGCTCGTGTAACGCCGAGCTTCACTCCCACGGGCCCCTGGCGGGGCAAGGCCGCCTCGGGATCTGCTCGTGGATGCCCTGTGCTGGCGCGAGACAGGAAGCAGACCTCCTGGGCACGTGAGCGCTACGTAACATGGTCTTTAGACCCCTGGAGTGGATGGGTCCAAGGAAATAAGCTTGAAAGAGATCTGATCATTGTCAGCAGCATAGGGTGTGCTGAGTGTAATGTGGACCTGCTTTCAAATCCTAATCCCACCACTTTGTGTGTGGCCTTGCATAAACTACTGAAACTTCCTGACCCTCAGTTGTTTCTCTTTCTGTAAAATAGGAATAATCATGCTTGGCTCACAGGGATGCAGTAAGGCCCAGTGAAATAACGCGTTGCTATAAAAAGTACTCGCACACTTAGTATCTGGTTATTGCTCTTATAAGTAGAGGCAACTTTTAAAATGCTTTTTAACACGCAATGTTAAGAACAGCAGGAGGAGTATTAAAATAAGATGGACTATATCTACTGATTCAAGGGGTTTGAAGGTGGTGTAATGTCACTGGTGAGGCTTGGGCTGAGAGCCAGTCATAGGGCAGCCAGAAGTCCTCACAGCTGGCTTCACCGTGGGAATACCACCCACCTGGTCATGGGGGAGCCACTTTATCTGTCTGGAATTTAGGCTTATGGCTCAGTTAATGATTCTTTTAATATACCCTAGAACAGGTGAGTCTCTCAGGGACAGAGTCACACCAAGCTTACAAGAGACTGATCTATAAACCAGAATGCTACTATACCCCTATACTGTGAAAAATGGACCTGCCTTGGGGGCCAGACAGCTTTGGTATCGCCTGACTAGGGATGCTTTCCCCACAGTTTACTTAGGAAGCCAAAATTGTAGTCATCAGGAGAATGAGAAGGAGACGGAACTGTTTAATTCAATGTGCCGGGCTGTCCACTGCCCCAGGAGTGGAAGGGTTTTTGGCCAGGGCCCTCCTTTCCTGGCCAGCAGGAAACACGTCAATTCAGTTTCCCCCATTCCCTCTCTAGCCCTTGTTGGTTCTGCTGACCAGCCAACCTGGTGTGTGTGAAGGCCTTCTTACTTAATACATCTCAGGAGATGATCAGAGCATTTATTCTGTTCATGCTGGTACCTCCCAGCCTGGTTCTTTTTGCTTCTGGCCCAGGCGATAGTCTGTTATGGAGACAGCATGACTCTTCTCTCGTCTGTTATGTGTGGGTGACAGACTTCAGCTTGCAGAGTTTGGGAGCTTCTTTGCTTTCTCCTACCTCTATACAATGAGTAGAGGTTTCTGAATGACAAATATCATCAGGTGAACGGGACCCCTAAGTTAATAGTTGGGGGTGGAATTGTGTTCCAAGGAGGACATTGATGGAAATCATATCTCCAAAGGAAAGAACCTGGAAAGAAACAAAGATAATTCAGCTCTTCTACTTCTAGACAACAGAGTCCGGTGGTTTGGAAAGTGATGTCTATGCCTTTCCTCCAAGCCCTTGGGTTTTGATGCCTGAGGTTTTGGTGGGTATGTGGGTGTGTGGAGTGGTCAGTGGCCAAGGAGGCTGAAGTAAGGGCTCAGCTGCACAGAAACTTGCCCCCCCCATGTTGTCCCTTACCAGAAAGACCCAAAAACGCAATGTCAGGGTGACTCAGAAACCAGAGAAAGAATTTGCTGTTCAAATTTCCTGTGTAACTATTCACCAAGATTAGGTTTGCAGGGTGCTTTCTGCTTTTCAAATTTATGCAGGATCTTGCCTGATCTTCCCAACGCCACCTGCATGGCAGGTGAGTCCAGGATCAGTCATAGGTAAGGAGCTGAGATCCAGCACATTAGTGCCTCCCAGGTCCCCTCAGCTTACACCTGCTGTTTCCACTCCTGTGTCCTCTCTGCCTCACCTCTCCCGGTATCCCTCATGTAGGTTTATGTACTGTGCTCAGAGATGCCAATCCAAGAACAGCTGTCTGTATACTGTTCAGACATTGGGGTTTTCCCTGTCATCATCTCTTAAACCTTTCATCCTCCAAACTCACGTAGGACTTTATTCTCAACTCCCATTGTGGGCTGCGCAGTGGCCTTGTGAACAAGGAATATTCAGGAAGCAATCATAAACATTCCCGTCATTCGTTCTAACCTCTGGCTCTTCCACCTTCTCAGGGGAGGGATTTCCTTTGTGCCAAGAAATCTGATTCAGCCTTGGTTTTCTGAGTAAGCCCAGGAAAGGGGGAGCTCAGAAGGAAAGGACTTCCTCTCCCTCCTCGGGGACCGAGCATTGTGCTGGCAGGTTATTCCTGACTTGGTTCTCGGGCTGCCTCGCAGGGAGCTGACACACGGGTTGGAGCTTCATCAGGGACTGGCTGGGTCAGAAAACACATTTCAGTTTGCTATGTTGCTTTCTTGGTACCTCTGGGAAAGATTTGGTGTCTCTGAAGGATATGTAGTTAAGCTATTACCTAAAAGTGGCTTTTCCTAATTACCCAGAACGTCAGCTGTCAGATTGCTGTTCAAGTCATTTTAACCACTTACCCTCCCAGCCACATACCATTCAGAGTTTGTGGCAGAAAAGCTAATGGAGTTATTGAAAGTTACTAAAATGTAAGAGATTCAACTGAAGTCTTTTTTGTTTGCTTCCTGGGCTCAGCCCTTCTTCCTTTTCTGTTAGTCATCAGAACTCTGAACATTCTTGGCCAGACTTCAAAATACCATACCTATCACTTCCCTCTTTGCTCACCCACATCGCCTCTCTGAATGGTCCTTTTATCTACTAGTAGGCAGGGTTATTTACTTCTTATTAAAGTGGCAGCTTATTTACTGACATTATCGGGAGAATTCAAACTGTTTAAATAAAACAAGCAATAAATGAACTGTAAGGTGACTAAACCAGTGCTTGTGCACTTCTGGGTCAAATCAAATCATTACTTAATGTGTTTTTTTGTTTTTTAAAAAAAGAAACCATTTGGTTAGCAAATAAGTACTTAACTCTGAACATAGGAGAAGAAAAAATAATTGGCAGCTGTATTCGCCCTAAAATCAGGCCAGTATCCTTGGCATCATCCTTAAAAGCTTTCTCTCATATCCACATCCTGTGCATCAGCGATTCCTGGGGTCTTCTTTCCAAAGCCAGTTACTTTTACTCCCTGTCCCCCAGGGCTAGCCCCCAACCCAAGCCATCAGCATCAATGACTGAGATGGTTGCAGTCGACTTATTAACTGGTCTCTTGTTTCCATGGCCAGTTCCTCACCCAGCAGCCAGAGCGATTGCTGCAACGACTTCCCAGGTCACTTGGAACCCAACCCCAAGTCCTGGCCGTGGCCCACAAAGCTCTCCAAGATGCTGCCCCCAGACAGGGGCCTCCTCCCACTTTTGCTTATTTGGCTTCAGCCATACAGGCCTTTTTGCTTCTCCTAAAACATCCCGGGCATCTGCCAGCCCTGGGCAGTGGCCATGTCCTCTTCCTGGGGCGCACTTCCCCTGGCTGTCTGTGTGGATAACCTCCCTATTTCTCCCAGCCTCAGAGGTTTCCGTTGTAGAGTCCTGCCCTACCCACCCTGTCTGGGATGGCGCGCCCACTGCCCAGCCCCCACCCCCACCCTTGCTTTATTCTCCTTCATACGTTACTACTGATGGACTATGGGCTTATTTGTTTGCTCTCAATCTCACCCATTTCTACACTAAAATGTAAACTACATGAGGGTGAAGATTTTTGTTTCTTTTGTTTCTCATCGTATCCGCAGAGACTAGGCAGTGCCTGACACATCGTAGGCAGTCAGGGAATGTTGGACGAAAGCCATGGAAAGAATGGCCCCTTGGTCCCCTCCCTGGGTGATTTTTGACCTGCCGCCTGTTCTCTTTTCCACAAGCGGCCCTACGTGGTTGGAGACGGGTCCAGAACTCAGAGGACTCTAGTTATGTCTCTGAACAGCTGCAGAACTGATGTATTTCAGGGAGAGTTTTCTAATCTGAAGAAGAAAAACTTACGAAAAGCACAGGTACTGAAATACACTCCTTCCCCATATGCTTCTCCCGTTACTGCCCACCTCTTATATAAAGTACATTCAAAGCATAAATCATAAATGATTAGGTTAGGGTGAAGAAAGACCTCAGATGTACAAATACATTTGTGTGTTTATTTACAAAATTTATTAACTGCCAGGGGAATGTCGTGACTTCAGGCTTGTAGAAAGAAAGATACGTGTAAATACTTAACACAATAAAAACCATGTATACTAATTTCCTGAATGTTTGGGAATCCTTACCAGTCAGAAATTGCTCCTATTTGAGATGGAGAGGGAGTGATGAAGGAGGATACTTAAAAAAAAAAAAAAAACAGTCTGAAGTGGATTTAGCCAATAGGCAGGCAGACAGTGTCTACTTGGGGCTGAGTCAGTTTAGACTCAAACTCAAAATTGAATGCCCTTCTATGCCTGAGTTAAGATGCAAGAAGAGAAACTCAACCAAATCCCGTGCTAGCAAAGACAGGTTAGATTGTGTTCATTATTCTCTACTCCAGTAGATTTTAGAGAGATTACCATCAAGAAAGAGGAAGTGATTAACCGTGAATTACCCCTTTCCATGGGTACTGAAATTAATCAAAGCCTGAATAGACTCTTTTCCGTCTGGCTGGCATCCCCTGCCACCTCTGATGCTGGAATTCAAACAGATGTTAGAATGGTAGCATTTTGAAGCCAGAGGGATTCTCAGACCCCATTTTATAAAGAAATAAACGAGACTCAGAGCAGTTGGAAAGGTCAGCCTCAAAAGATTCTTTCTCTAAATATCCATGAGATGGAACCTTAATGGTGTGTCAAGGCTTTGGGGAGAGACCAGAGCCCAACTCTGAGAGCAGCCGCAGAGAGGCAGCTGGGGCATCTCAGGAAAGAGCTTTGGATGTGAAATCAAGGACCTGGTTTAAAGCACTCGCCCTCATCACTAATAAACTGTGTAGCATTGGGCAGGCTCTTTACTGGAAAGAACCCGTTTGCTGATTTATGTAATAAGGGTAATGAAGACAGAAGATTAGCATGAGAGTGAAGTGGAAATACCCTCATGACAAAAAGTTAAAATATAATCTCTGCTTACCCCATACTAGCATGTGATTCTGGCACTTTCCATATGTTATCTTTTTTTTAGTTGCAGAGTCAGTGGTACTAGCCCTATTTTATAACTGAGGCCCAGAGGGTGTAAGCATGTGCTTAAGGCCATGCAGCCAGTAGATGATACTGCAGAGTTAGGATCTCGATCTGTGGGACCCCACAAGCTCTCCCTCACTCTCTGACACTGATGCAGCACGTGGCGAAGGCTTCAGAAATGTTTCAGGAATAAAATACCTGTTGTCAGGAAATGTATCCAAGAAAAATAAAGCATTCACTTAATTTCCCGGAAAGCTTTGTAAACTTCTTAAAAGCCACATGCACCAAATAAATCATTCCCAAAGGCCTTTTTAAGCCAGAAAGAAATAAGCCAAATCATTGATATTTCACTGTGGAGATTTATTCATTCAGAAAACATCCCTTGGACCCCGTCTCAAGGCACTTTGCTAAGCATTGATTCATTAACCTGACAGAGTCATTTTAAAAGTTCAAATTTGCATTTTTTATGGGACATATGTATACTTTATGGTATGCTAGGGCCTCTTTCATAATTCATACGGACAGCATGTTTATCCCTGTTTTATGGGATTTTAAATTATGAAAGAGTTTATCGTTTTTATATATTGTATTCTGTCTGCTTTG